GTTCTTTGGGTAGGGAAGTAGTTACTTATTGGTGGGTATAGAAAAGCTGTATTATATTCCCCAAAACAAGGAGCAGAGTCCTATTCAGCACCACACACATGTGTGTGTGTTTGTGTGTGTAAGTATGAGAAAAAGAAATTGAGAGGAACCATTTACATGAAATACTCAAAATTGTTCCTCTGGTGTAATGGGCCCGCACAGACCATTACCTTGAAGATTTAAAAACTAAATGAGCTCATCATATCTAGTGAGCTCCACCGACATTCATGCTTGATTGCAAAGCCTGCTTTACCTTTGAATTTCAACTTCAGTTTGTTATTAATTCTTGGATGTTGGTGGTGTGGTCCCTCAACTTGGATTCAGCCAGGAACATGTTGATTGTAATAGATATGAATGTGTCTAAACAAAACCCCAATGAAGAACCTTTTTGTTTTAAAAATAGCCTCATGACCTTTGGGGCCCAGACTAGAGTTTCAGAGGGATCCAGTGGGCTAACGCGAGACTTTGGAGAAAGCAGAAGTTTGCATTTTTAAAAATTTAATAATTTGAGTTTCATATGAATGATTCTGCGTACCATGCAATACTATGCATTTTCATAACTGTCTCTTCCACTTCGGGTAAAGGAAGGGAGGGAAAAAATAACAGCAGCAGCATTCTGTGGGCAAAGGAAGAAAACAAGAGAATGGGGCAGAGAACAGGCTAAATTTAAAATTGTAATTGGCTGACTTCCACTGGCTTGCGGGTGTTTTAATGACTCATAATAACTTCATTTAAAACCAGCTGAGCAGAAAATAGATTGGAGAGGAGCCTCGGGCCATTATGGATTTGTTTTTTTTGACAAGCTCGGTTTTCAGCAGCCAGGAAGGCTCTCAGAGAAGGCTTGGCTGCGTGTTCTCTCCCTCTCTCCTCTCTGCTCTCTCTCTCTCCTATCTCCCCTCCGCCCCTTAGGGTTGGTGGTCTGCCTGGGAGATATCGTATAGAAACCAGGGCTAGTTTTTTAAAACTCTCCCCCACCCCTTTCTATTTTTTTAACTGATTAAAAATAGATGCCTTGAGGTATTATTTTAGCATCCGTAGATTTTTTTTTTCACTTTTGATGTGGTAAATGGAACATAAATAAAATTGTTTTTGAAATTACTGAATTAATTAGGTAGTAAAGCAACTACAGTGAATAAATTTCATTTGCTGTTTGCTTTTTCCCCTGGATCCCTGATCCATATTTGCAGGGCGTTTCCCTTTTTCCCCAATCCCCTCCTTGCCCCCGCCAGCCTCTGCTTCCACTGAGCATGGACCCTCCCTTGGAATGGCAAAGTTCTGTTGTCATCCTGGCAACCATGAAATGATTTTTTTTTTTTTTTTTTAACAAATCCGTAGGATTTTGACAGTATTGTTCTGTCCAGTTACCCAGGAAGCATGAGTTTTGGGAATTGCCGGAAAAGGCTCTGACCTGCCTCTAGTCGTTTAAAATAGATCCTGCCTGTTTCCCATACTAGGAATGGTGCCAGGACTGGAGAGTGGTCCCTTCTCTCCTCTCTTTTGAAAGTCAGCCCACTCAGCCAGAGGATGCGTCTGTCTGGGCAGAACAGGAGGCTGCCCCCATCTGATAGCTTCTAGCTGTTTATCTGCTTTCCCTTATGGCACCTGTCCTCTTCTTTGTTAAATAGCCTTGTCTTTTTTCACCTACTAGACTCTTAAGTTTCTTGAGAACATGTGATTTATTTCTGTCTTCCCCATGCTTCCTAGCACAGTAATATGAATGGTGGTTATAACACCATTGTCTTTTGAACAATGAATGGATGAGTGGGTAGATGACAGTGCCTGGACCTGAGATACTCCCTTGCTTCCTCCAGCCCTGGCAGTCAGTCAGTAGTCTGCACAGGGGACAGGAAAGGAGGCAGGGACCTTATCAGTAGTATGTTGTGTTGCATCCCCACAACTTAACACATAACATGTTCTCAGGAAATAGCTACAGAATAAATGAATGGCTCAGGATGGAAGGCAGGGGCTCAGGAAGGAGAGAAAGGCACTGAGGTTTATTGAGTGTCTGCTGTGTTCCAAGTGAACTGGAGCATCGGTATTGTGCGTGTCTAAACTCAAGCTGGTATTAGCTGTGGAAAGTGGATGTCCTGATTCCATTTTGCAGATGAGGACACTAAAGCTTAAAGAGTTATCTTGCCTAAGATCAGACAGTCAAGAGGGATGATAGAGCCTGATTCAAATCCGCATCTGTCTCCCTGTCTGTCCTCCTTGATTTCTGGTACATGTACTACCTTTGGCCTCATGCTATTGGACTGCTGGACTTCGTGCTTTTCTGTTTGTAGATCTAACCAATCAGTGTTTTAGAGCCTGGGAGCTGAGCCTAGGAAGGCCCTATCCCCAGGGGTTTTAGGGTAAGGGTGGCACAATAATTGGCTACTGCTCGGAGCCTTGCATCTGGGCCACCAGGAGCAGGTGAGGCTTATTAGCTGTCCCTGCTCTACCAGAGTATCCTGTGTACAGTGGCTGCTGAACTGTGGCCATTACTTTTCCGCATTGTAGGGCTGGAGGGAAGATGGTTCTGGGGGCATTGCTGAAGGATCTGTGGGTCTGTAAGTCTGTGGGTCTTTCCCATCACAGAGCGTTTGCCTGTGTCACGCTCTGCTGTTCTTCCTTCCCACCAGTATGCCCAGAGAGAGGAGGGGCAGGAAGAGAGAGCTGCCTGTGGTTCTGCATTGGCACCCTGCTGTGTGCTTTGCTCCTGGGGAAGCCACGATGGGGTCAGGCACGAAGGGGACAGCTGACTTGTGCTGCAGCCCAGCAATATGAGAGCTGGGACCTCTTGGGCTGTTTTAGCTCCTTAGACTTGCTGTTCCAAGCTCCTTGGTGTGATCTACCAGGAAGATTTTGGCCTCTCTGGCCGTTTAGTTCCTGTCTATTGAAGCTGGACAATTTGGCACAAGGCTAGTTATGTCTGTGCTCTGAGATTCTCATCCTTAGGCTCATACTGGGGATGCTGGAACCCTCTCTGGGGAAAGAAACATCAGCCCAGTGGGAGCTAGATGGTGAAAGTCGGGCAGCAGAGAAAACTTATTGACTGTTGTGGGTCACATGCATGGCTTTTGGAAGGGGGGGGGATTCATGAATTATTTCAGTAGTTCTCAACTGAATAGAGGGCCTGTGGTGTGCAGAGGTTGGCAGGACAGACAGAAGAACTGAAGCCAGTGTCCTTACCTCCAAGTTGATGGCGGCCTGGCTGAGAGGATGATACAGCCCCTGGAGAGGGAAGGTGCACCCAGCACAGGGCTGGGTGTGCTCACTCTCCCCACTTAGGCAGTGAGGGGTACTGTAGCAGTTAAGAGCAGGGAGGATCTCCAGTGACAGTGATGGGGAAAGGCTTTGGGAAGGGGGTTTGTGGGATTTTATTTTTCCTGCTGGAATGTCTAGAAGGAGCTCTATGGTAGAAGTGGCAGGAGGAAGCAAGAGCAAGAACTTCTGTGAGTTAGAACCAGCCAGGCGGGCATCTCTGCTCCTCTTCCTCTTCTGGCCATGGCCATCTCCAGAGGCTTTGAGGCCAGTGTCTTATACCCGAGGCTCCTCAGATCTCTGAGAACATTGCAGCACCTTTTTCCTGGCAGGTTGAGACACTTCTTACAGGTGAAAACTGCCACCTCAAGTGTCCCTCCATTTCAAGGTAGTCACAACATAAACACATGCATGAAAGAGGCTTAAAATGGGACACAGTCCCAGAAGATGATAGATTTCTCGTATAGTAAGTCCCCAACATAAGAAAGAGTTCTGTTCTGGGAGAATGTTTGTAAGTCAGATTTGTTTGGATCCAACAAAGTGAGTCTTATGCATATACCTGTGAAAGTTTGCAACTTGAATGTTTATAAGTCAGGGACTTACTGTGTAGGACTTGATGAGCCCCAAAAATATGTTATGAATGCCCGAAATCCTCAAAGCCCAGGCTGAGAACCAGTGCTGGGAGGGCTTCCATCAGTGCTTGCTTGGGGGACCTGAGGACTGTCTGAGCTGTGGCACACAGAGCCTTGCTGACCTTCTCAGAGTAGGCAGGTTGCACTCCTGAGTGTGCCCTTAATGAGCACAGGCCAGTTCTGCACCAGGAGGGAGGGCCCAGGGCTTCTCTAGGGAGTTGGCTCTGTTCAGGATTTAGACCAACACAGACAATTCTTCTAGACTTTTCCCCAGTTGTTAACATGCTTGCTCCTCCTTCCCCCAAACAGGACCATTTTGATTGGAATTCTTTTGCTTGCCAGGGAAAACAAGAAAAAAATATTAAGTTCTAAACTTTGCATTAGGTAGTTGGGATAAAAAGCCTTCTGGAGTAGGTGGATTAAACCTCTCGAAGCTCTCTTGCTGACTATTATAAGCTAATTGAGTACGTGAGCTCATTGGCGGCTGCATTTTGTTGGAGTAGTTATGCAAGGCCACAGTCATTTCAGTAACAAGGTAACTTCAGGTAAGGCAAGAACATCCTAGAACTTCTCATTTGCTGGAGTCTTCTTCAGATCCCTGGGATAGACAAAGGCTCAGAGACCAGATTCTTCTTTGGGGAGGACAGGGTACTGCCCCTGGGGATTACTGTCCAAACAGCTCGGATCTGATGTGAACAACTCTGCACATCTGGGAGAGGCAGAATGGGGTCAGTTGTGCTTTGGCTGTGAACAGGTGCAAGCTTTGGGGCTGACCTGGGGCAAGGAGACTCACAGGGTGGCATCTTCCCTATTCACTGAGGGTGGGGCCTGACTCTAGGTAAGGAACTCAGAATCATATCCTCTGTCTCTACGGAATTCTGTCCAACCTGGGTGGGCAAGATCCAGGCCCGTATAAATAGGACCAATAGGATAGCCTCTAGGATCTTTTCTATGTCATATGTCTTAATGGTGATACTTCCTTTGACATACTGTCTTCCCACTAGACTCCACCTCTGCCCAGAATCTTAGGAGGCAGAAGCTTTAAAGTGTTCTCCATGCTACCTGTGGGTCCTGGGCTCAGTGGGCTGGGAAGAGCCTTCCAGTACCTTTTGGAAGGGGCCGTGGAACATGGCAAAGATGAATGTAATTCTGGGTGGCCCTGCCTCAACTCTGTTCTTGCCAGCGCTGAATTATGCACTCTAGAGGACTGTGCGGAACTGTGGTTCCAATATGTGAGTAGTCCCTGGTCCCTGAGGTGATAGGAGTCACTGCACCCCATCTTTGTGACACCAGTGACCACCCTAGCTTTTTTCTTTCACTTCTCAGCCCTTACAGCCTAGAATTCTGTTCTGGGGGGCATATGCAGAGCTGTTTTTTAAAGTGTGAGCTTTTTACTTTATCCTCTTCTTCAACTCCCACTGTAGTTTTCAGACCTTTATATTTCATCTCTGTCTTGGACTGAATTATTCCTCCATTTCACAATTAGAAGTTTATCACAGTCCGAGGCTGGCTGAATTGAGGCAGGAATGTGGTGTTTGGTTAAATTGTAAAATTAGCTAGGAAAGTTAATGAAGCATCCTGCTTCTGCCTTTCAAAGAGCGGGAAGTCTGTGAAGGTGCTTCAAGCACTTTGCCTGAGAAGGAAAGAGAGGAAAGGGATGTGCAAGGGCTGCAGCCCAGGAGTACAAATGAGCCTCATTTGTTTGAGTTTTCAGGCCTAGGACAGGGGCATTGCTTGCTTAGTTGGAGGGACCTCAGAAGTCACCCCTCAAAATGCCTGCATTGGGACAGGCTCTGTCTAGGCACTGTAAGTTTATAGGCACGTCCTGCTACACATCTAAAGATATCCCGAGATTGTACACAGCTGGCTGTGGTTAGCCATTCTGCTCAAATTCTTACATTTTCCCTGGCCAGAGCTGAAGAGACAAAGACTGAACACTTTATCTTAGAAGGACCCTGGGGTAGAAAGACCCACAATGCCAATGCCAGTGCCAGCTAACATTTGCCAAGGGTCTATAGATGCCAGGCACTTGAGTGTAGTATCTCATTGGAGCCTCCAAAGGCCTGTTTGAAGTTTGTACTATTAGCGCATCCATTTTACAGATGAGGAAACTGTTTACTTGCTCGAGATCACTCAGCAACTAAGAAGCAGAGTTGCTGCACTTCTAGAGGCCTGACCCTAAACCCCCTGGTCTGAACCTCGGAGGAAAAGTTGTCTCTGTCCCCTTTGCACACTGCCCACTTCTCCCAGCCCACAGTTCCTGTGCTACAGACTGTTAGCCTGCACATGCACACGCTGGAGCTCTGAAAGTCATGGTCGCCAAGGTGTGTGCATAAGCACTGCCAGTGGTCTGTTTTCTGCACACATCAAATTTGCAGGTCCTTTAATTACACCAAACAAACCATTCTGTTTTCAAGCAGCAGTTCCGTGTCATTTTAGTTGTCAGAAGCACTTTCAGAATGCCGTGGGCTTCACATGGGATATTATCCCACCTGAACCTTTAGCACGGGGTAAGCTGGAAAAGAAGACTGTTTTCCTTTGTGTTGGTGGTGAGATGGGCATTAATTGTGACAGGCAATATTTTTGTTTCAAAAAGTGTGGCACCTTCAGGCTTCTGAATTTTGAGCCTGAAAATGTCAGTGTTGGAATTGTAATGTAACACCTCAATTATGGTGCAGGGGGTAAGACAGCCAGATTGTGAAACCTGCAAGGTTCTTTAGATCCACAGCCTGAGCCACAATTAAGGTTTCAGAAACACCAAAGGCAAGCCAGTGAGTGTCATTTTTAACCAGTTTGAACATTTTACTACTTCCTAACATCAGAAGCACCCGAGCTGGAGAGCCTGCTTCTTGTCCTCAATAAAGTGATTAAGCTGAATGGGTGTTGGGGAGTATTATTAGGCTGAGAAGAGCTAAAAATAGACATGCTCTGTTTTCTGAAAGCCACAGCAGGCCTGGAGAGGCTGGCAACCTCAAGGTGCCACTGGGGAAGGGGGAGAGGGGTGGCAGTGCCCTGGGCACCAGGTCTGAGATGATGCAGTGGAGTCTGGTCATGGGCAAGTCAGGTGATGTAGTCTTTGCTCCAGCTGTTATCAACAGTAGAAGTATAATGGAAACAAAAGATCAGTTGCTCCTAATAGCGGTGTGTATGTGTGGGTGTGAATAGATTCAAAGTAACTGACAACTCCAGAGATTGGGATGGATAGGTGGGCCTAAACTGTATATGTTCAGCCCCCTCTGTTCTGGGAAAAGGGCCCCAGTTTGGGCAGCAAGTAAAGGGAAGGTTTTCAGAGGCACAGAGAGAAAGTTATAGAAGGAAGAGACCCTTAGAGCCAAGAGCAAGGATACTTTCCACAAAGCTTTGAGTAACCAGGATGCTCAGGGAAGGTGTAATAAAAGGACTTCTTAGTTAATTGAAGGTTAAACAAGAAACTTTGTCTGTTTCGGTTTTCAGTGTGCTGTCATTCATCAATGTGAGAGTCCCCCATTTTTCTACTTTCAGTGAATGCAACTGATTGTTTCTTTATGATAGAACATCTTGCTTTCTTACAGCTCAGAAGGAGAGCACTGGAGAGGAGAATCAGGCCTTGAAGGATATGCCGAATTGGAGTTTTGTCATCAGTCCTGAAAATTGGTTGTACATTTTACTGTATAAAGCCCCATACATTTTCATGTCTTTGAGCTCATTCTTCTATTACAGCTTTAAGTGGCAGGGAGGGGCTAGGAATGTGATGTCCATTTTGCAAATGGAGAAACTTAGGCCTTTTAAGAAAATCTGATCAGAGAGGTACGCTGGAGTCCCCAGCAGAACCAGTGTAGAGCCTGGTGCTGTTGCTACCTGTCTAGGCTCTCTCTCCGACAGTGGTGCTACCTCCCTAGATCAGGAGATGATGTTGTTTCTCATGGGCCAAGAGCTCAGAGAAGAGAAGATGAAATGAGGAGGGCAGGCTTGAAGCTTGGAGGTGGGAGGTAAATCTCCAGACTCCAAGAGGTGAGCTGCAATGTGGAGAAGAGCAGGAGATTTGGGCTTACTGCCCTTGAGACCTGTGTCTATCCTCCTTAATAGGAACTTGTCACACTTTAACATATATGGTCAGAGGCCCTTCTGGATAGCTCGGCTTTTCATGCTGCCGCTTTGATTTAAATTAGTTTCATTTTCTCTGATCCTTACTAGCACTGAGACCTTGGGTAAATGAACTAAGCTTTTTTCAACCTCAGATTTTACATCTATAAAATGGGGATAATCTTAAAGTTGTTGGAGGACTCAGTAGTATAGTGCATGTAAAGTAATAAATAGGTAGTAGTACATGTTATAGTGATATATATATCTGGGGATTTAACCCAGGGCCTTCTCAATGAACTGCATCCTCAGCCCTTTTTTATTTTTTATTTTTGAGATAGGGTCTTGCTAAGTTGTTCAGGCTAGGCTTGAACTTGTGATCTTCCTGCCTCCGCCTTCCACAATGCTGGGATTGGCCAACATATCCAACTAGTGGCTATTATTTTTGTTGTGCCTGCAGCAGCAGCAGCAGCAGCAGCAGCATTATCACTCCTCATTGCAGGGCAGCCTTTGCAGAACTCCTAGAACCTGGGAAGGAAGGAAGGAAAGGAGGAAAGAAAGGCTTGTTATTGGGCAGCTGCTCACAGCCAGTTAGTGTTCTGGGTGCTTCTTATTTAAACCTCCCAACGACCTTGTAGCCCCATTTCTAAGTGAGTGATGCCTTTTGAGTTGTATATTCAAAGTTCTGCTTTTCAAAAGGAGGGATGTATCCCCATCTCCTTAACAGGTAAGGAACCAAGGCTCAGAGAGGTTAAACTGCTCATGTTCTTGTGTGCTAGTGGGTAGCTAAACTGAAATCTCGGCTCGGTGGACCTCAAAGCCGAGCTCTTCCTGCCAAACCATCTGTGATGGAACTGTAGTAAGGGACCAGCTTGGGTACTGAGACTTCTGTTCAGGCTGAATCCTGCCTCTTCCTAGGAGCTCAGCCTAGATGCCAGGGAAGGCTGGGACACTGCTTTCTGGTGGAAGAAAGCCCACACCTGCAGAGCTTATACAGCTCACAATCAAGAGACTAGTCAATTTTTATGTAGAGCCCTGCCTATTGGTCTCTTAAAGAGTAAGTACAATAATTTTCATGCTTGAAGCCTTTGGAAATGGTTTGTATTTTTTTGAAATATGGTTATTTAAGGGTATTTTATTTGTTTATTTATTTGGGTGGTGGTGGGGTACCAGGGATTGAACTCAGGACCTCGCACTTACCAGGCAGGCACTATGCTGCTGAGCTAAATTCCTGGCCCATTTAAGGGTATTTTAACTTAAAGCCCAACAAAATACATACTATAAATTCAGTTGCAAGGAAGACTGGAGAGAGATGCTAGGAGTAGGGAAAGAATAGGGAATTCTGGGAAGAGAGAGACTTAGGGAATTATCAATATAGAGATCCAAATGTTGTGAGAGGCCATAGCATATCTAGTCAAGGAGAAATGAGAAAGGAAGGAACAGCTTAGAGAAAGAAAGGGAGAACTAGAATGCTCTTAAGGCTGAGAAAGGCTTCCCTCTCTTTTCCCAATAAATATCTCAGATAATTTAATAAGAAGGAGTGTCAGGGATGTTGGGGAGCTATTCAGTGGTGGGCATCAGCTTAAAATTTTGTGAGTTAGGCAGGCGGGGCTTTGCTTCTGGCCTTGCCCACTTGGAGTGACTCTGGTTCTCTTTTTTCCACTGTCCCATTAGCAGTGGGAATCTTCCCCTGAAGAGAGGAGTGCATGCATGCAGGTGTGTGCGTGCATGCATGTGTACGTGCATAAGTGTGTGTGTGTGTGTGTGTGTGATGTGTATGAGCATGTGTATGTGATCTTCCATACTAGATTGAGAGTTCAAGCTGCAGCGAAATACTGAGGTTGCTTCAGAAGGAAGAAGAGATTTGAGGATGAGAGGAAGCAAAGTCTTGGGTAACAAACAGCTTCAGGGCTACATGGTGCCAGAAGGAAATGCACTTTTCATTCTGAACCTCTCACCTGAGAATCCTCAAATGGGACCGAGGAGGAAGAGGATTGTTAGTGTCCAGGGTTTGAGGATATGTCTCAAAATCACAGCTGATGGTCCTCACTTTCATGTCTCTGGCTCTTTTTAAACCTATCCCAGTGATGGTGAATATTTTAGAGATGAGTGCCCAAACTGCAATCCAAAGAGCGCTTATTCATCACAAAGTGCCAACACTGTGATTATACCCAAATACTGAGATTTTAGTTTAGAAGAAACAACTCATACATCAACATCTTTTGTCTTAAAAGAAAAACAACACGCATGCTATAGGTTTGCCACCATGGACGGACCTAGCATCTTGCAAATGCCAAACTTTATAGTGCTCTCTCTTAAACAAAACTAAGTTGTGAACACCCAAAAGCCCAAGTGTTCCTGGAAGTTAGGGGTCAGTCTCTGGCTCAGCCTCCCTGGCTCAGTCTAACTTTGGCTAATGATTGTCCCAGCAGCTGGACTCTTTGTTCCATTTTGCCTGTCTGATAGAGCAAAGTACAGACATTCCTCATTTAAAGACAGAGCTCTGTTCCTACAACTAGGTTGTTGATTGGTCACTAAATGAGGAATTGTGTATAGTACATACATTACAATATTCAGAACAAAGAAATGGTCAAAGGAAACTCCAACTTGATGACTTTGCTTTTATTTGCGTAACTCTTACATTACAGTTCTGTAATGTTTAACAGAACATAAAATTACAGTATTATACTGTACAGTACAATTAGCAAAAATTATAGTACTGTACAAACAAAGGTATACTGTACAAAAGAAGACATTGAGATTTTATAAAGATGTACAGAACTGTACAAAAAAAAAAGATGGATTGTAACTCTGAACAGCATACCTCTGTCGTTAAGTCCAAACACTCGTTAATGAGGTAGGTTATTAAACAAGGAATACCTAATTCCTTGAGGAGGATTCCTTTGGCTGAACTGAGCCACCCAGCCCTGGCTTGATCCAGTCAGCACCTTCCATCGCCAAGAGTTAGGAGTGTTTGAGCTCCCTTTTACAGCCACATCGAACTTTCTTTTTCATGAGTTTCTGGCTTATTTGCATGAAACACTCATTTTCCCTTAGAGATGTCCTAGTTTGACACTTATCATCTGTAGATAGAAAGAGACTAGACTCATCCAAGGTCACACAACTCAGGCAGTGACAGTTAGGACCCTGAATCCATTTCTCTCTGTGGTGCTTCGGGATATTTTAGGTGCTCTGGGCCAGCAGCTACTCTCCGTGTCTCATCTGAGAATGGCCCTTCCTCCCCTCCCCTCCCCTCCCAAGCAGCAGAATATACCAACAAGATATCTAGATGTGGTGATTCACCTTCCCAGGCCATTCGCTTCTTGCAATTGGGCCTTTCCAACTAGGTCCTGGGAGCTCTGGGGCTGCAAATATTATGGGCTGGCATTCCAGGAAGCTCTGGCCAGGGGCTGACCTCCTAGAGCTCATCAGCTTGATAAAATGGAATTAATCCATAATCATCATAGTGACTATGACTTTAGCACCTTTTGTGTGCCAGCACTTTATACAGGTTCTTTTTTTAAATTTTTAAAAAATTTTCTAAGTTCTTTTATTGGTACATTTTAGGTATACAATTAGTTTACATTTATCATTGGATGTTTGTACCTGTACATGATGTATCTTGGTTCTTATTTCTTCCCCATTACCTGTGTGCCCTTCAGCCCCTCCTCCCTTCCCTATTTACACACACATCATTTACATTTTTTTTTCTTTTCTCATAGTTTTTCCTTTCCCTCCTTTCCTTTCCCCTTCCTCTCCCTTCACCCCTTCATCTTTGGTATATAGGTTCTTGATTAAGCTGTCATGTGAAGATTAGAAAGCACATTTTAAGGAAGGATATGAGGCTACATGCCAAGACCATACCACCAATGAAACAGAGATCCCCAAAGCCGTGTCTGGCCACTAGCTACTACAGAACTTCATGCTGAGGGGCTTGACCATTAACCTCAGGAAGATCTCCCAGTTGGCATGGCACACCTGGAAGGAAGTCTGGTCACCCGTGGCAGAGGCAGACATCCCTGTAGTAAGGGAGATTTTCTTTGGGTGTGTGTGGTGCTGGGGATCCAACTCGGGACCTTGCGCTTGCAAGGCAGGTGGCAGAACCACTGGGCTAAATCCCTGGCCCAATAAGGGAGGTTTTTTGAGCCTTTCCACTGATTATCATGATACCTTCATTGCCTAGTCAGTAGAAGTTGGCAAGGAAAGAAAGACATTCAAAGCTGTGGTCAGATCAGCCCCTTAATCTCTTAGGCTTCAGAAAGATTTCTGTATTTGCAATGAACTTATTGTCATACTTGCATTTATTCAAAATAATTCACCTTAAATCAGTTCATACCGCGTGGTTACCTTTTGGGTGGCCAGTAGGAAGATAACTGATAAAATTGGCTATGAGTGATGATGGGAGCAGACTAGAGAGGTCCCTTTTCCTTGACCTCCCAGGAAAGAGTGAGCTGACCCCTGTCTTTCCTTGTAACTTGGTTTGTATCAAGGCTTTTTGGTGGGACACAGTGATTAGTGGTGTCTATCTTTCCTTACCTTCCATGCTCCAGAGAAAGTCTGCTGAATGAAGACTTGTCAGAGTGCACATCTTTTCTGAGGAGGTATCAGCCATTTACCAGCTCAGCAGTGGGAAGTTGACTTCCAGAGATCAGGAAACCAGTTGGGCTCTACCAAGTGACTCCCTTGTTTGTGGCTTTCTCCACTCTAACTTTGATTGGGGACCCTGCACCTTGCTTCATTCATCTCCCATCTTGCAGGGAGGCATTTCCCCACTGTAAACTCAGCCTCAGCTCTCCTTGAGCCCTATCCTGGGCCAGCCCCCAGGGCCAGTCCACAAGGTTGGTGGGTTTCCATTCAGTGGCATCTACTACCTACAGCCCCTTTTCCTCTTTCCTGAATCTGCGTTTCTCACAGAAACTGGTTCTGTATGTTTTTCATTTTGTTGATAAGGGAGAGAGAGCATGAACACAAGCCTGCCTGCCTCCTCTCCTGGAGTACACAGCTCCTTGAGGGAAGGAACACGCAGTGCTAGCCTTTGGAATTGGCAGCCAGTGTGCTGTTCTCTGTCTGATAAGAGGTACTGTAAATAAAACTGTACACCATGGCCTGTTGTAAAATGCCCTGCGTCTGTACTCATTGTTCTGACAGCTTATGCTTTTTTTGGGTCTGCTGTTTTGGTACACTCTGTACTTCCTTATGTAAGCAGGCATGCATATCTCATCAGAACATTCAAGATGTTTATTTTAAAATCTCAAGGAATTAAAAAAAAAGAGGGACACACCACTCAACACTAGATGCTGGCAAATACTGCATGTTTTTTTTTCCCCCAGTGATTCCTTTTAAAAAATTTATTATTAGGCTGTAGGGTGGGGAGGGCTTTGAGGAGGGAGGGATTTTGAATTATTTTCTTCCCTTATTGGCTTCTGCTTTCCTTCCTTCAGAGAGGCACCATCCCATGTCTGACTGCATTCTGTATCTTCTCTTCCCTTCCTAGATGCTTGGGACCCCCAGCCTCATTTCTGGTCAGGAAGGCAAGTAGGGAGAGAGGCTCCATTCTTTGCCAAGAGGGAGAGGCCAGAAGAGGGGGCCCAGGCTAGGAGCTTCTACTGGATTTCAACTCTGTTGTCATTGGAATCCTGGGATTTAGCTAAAGCTTTATGTTTTACAAAAGCCTTGCAGACTCTTCCTTTGGTTCCTGTGAGTTGGGGTGGTCCTTAGCCCCCACTCAGAGCCCTCAGACCAACTCTAGTCTCAGTATCTCTGTCTCTTCACCAAACTTTTACCTGCTTTGTACTTTCCTCTGTCCTCTAGTCCCTCTTTAACCTTTTGGAGGCACTAAGAAGTCAAGGAAAAAGAGGGAGAAAAATAGAAGTCTGGAAAACCTAAAATGATCACACCCCTCCCCAGTGTTGTGCTCTGGATATTTAGGAGCCGAAGAGTGCTGAGGGTGTCTGTCTGTCTGTTTCTTTTAACAACTGGGCTCAATGACTCCTGGATGGACTTAGTGACAAGGCTGGGGGAGAGTCACTCCCAGCACATCACTGCCAGCCAGTAGAGGGTCCACCCTGGTCTCCTGAGATCTGCTTGGGGACAGAAAGCTCACTGCATGTACTGGAAGGAGGGGAGAGCACTGGGTAGTGGGGCGGAGGTCTTATTCCAGAGGAAGCAGACAGCCTCACTTTCTAACCTTTCCTTTCTTCTCCCTCGAGCTTCCTGAGTTCCAGCCAGAGGACTGGCTTAAGGACTATGTCTTAGAGTTTTCAAAAAGTGGCAGCAGAAAAGTCAGAGTATGTAGAATAAGGACTCTGCCACCCCCTAGGGGACAGCTTGGCAGTGCCCTGCATGGCCACTGCCCCCTTCTCAGCTGCCTGCCTAAGGGCTTCTTGAACAAGCATTTAGTGAGCACAAGCTGCATGCCAGGAGGGGAGGCTCTAGGGACTTGCAGAGCACAGGGGAGATGAGAGCCTGCTTTCACAGAGCTTACAGTCAAAGGCACAAAGCACAGCCTGGCCTGGGACTGTTGAATGGGGCTCCTGGGGCTTGTCTGGGGAAAGATTTAAGAGCTGGGCTGGTGAATAGCTGCTGGTGCTGTCTTACTGGTTCTATGACAGACTTTTCTGCTCCTGTCCACAAAACAATCACTTCTAAATTAGAGGGTCAGGGCTGTATGGATGTGTGTGTGCGTGCACGTTGTGAAATATGTCTTTACAACTGTGACACTCACTTTATACAAAACAAATGGACCCCAAAAAGTGCATTGAATTTCAGTAAAATCAGTCATACTTCAATTGCACAAAAGGAACTCTTCTTTGAAGGAATAATGACTAGCAGTGATGGTAGCTGCTATTTACTGATTCTGTATATCTTCCCTCTGTATAGGGCTGAGCACTTCACTCACCTTGTCGGGGCCCTCTGAGGGACCTACTCTTGCTGTTTCCATTTTACAGATGAGTCAACATACTGAAATCAGGTGACTGGGTGAGGGTCACAACTGGTGACTAGCTCTACTGGGATTTGAACTTTCCTCTGTCTAACCCAAATCCTAATCCACGTTCCACTGCCTCCTGAGGTATAAATACCATCCATGATCTCTTACATCTGCAGAGTGCTTTATGATTAACGAGAAGTTTTATACTTATTAATGTTTATTTATCTCCTACCTGCCTCACAGCAGCCTTGGTAGAACAGATAGCTATGGTCCATCCCCAGTTTGAGCAGTGAGCAGTGTACGGGGCCCAATTCTCCCAGCTGTAGATGCTGTGCTTGTCTTCCTTGTTCACTGGACTGTGTGATTGATAGTAAGGATAGCATGGGGCCAGCTCACTTTATCTCCTTGCCATTTGGCCCCTGCTCTTTAATTTCCTTTCCACCATCTATCCCTTTCTAGACCCTATCTCCCTACCTTCCTCTCACCAACTCCGTTCCATCCGACTGGCCTCTTCACTCTCACTTTGCCTGGAGTGGCCAGTCCCAGATCGTGGCCTTGCTTCTTACTGCCCACTTTCCTCCAGCTCTCTGCCCAGATGCTGGCAGCTTCAGGTGCTCTGTCTTTATGCAATTTATCTCTTCTTTTTTTTTTTGGTACCGGGGATGGAACTCAGGTCCTTGTGCTTGTGCAGCAGGCGGCGAAACCACTAAGCTAAATCCCCGGCCCCAATTTATCTTTTCTTATCACTTATCACCACCTGGCCTGTTTTATATTAACCTACTTAAAAAAAAATCTTCCTTCCCCTCTCAAATGTAAGCCTCATGAGGGCAGATATTTTGTCTCTTTTATTTATATACTGTGATCTGCCTCCTGGCAGACAGTTAGTGGCCATCCAAAACCCAGCCGCTGCGTGCAGGAAAGATGTGGTGATCATAGTCTGTGGGCCATGTCACTGGGGTTCTCCCTGCTCCAGGATGAGCCCCAGGAAATTCTGTGGGGTAAATGTTTCTGCTAGGTCCATGTGCACCTGTCGTGCTCAGCTGGCATGACCTCCTCTCTTCTTCCACCCCTCCACTGATGCTTTATAAATATATTGGAGGCTGAATGATGTCCCTCTAATGCATTTTGGGAATAGCCACGTGGGTTATACTCACTTGAGTTGCTTTGAATCCAAGCCTGACATCATACTGAAGGTGGCAGCGAGCAACATATGCACAGTAAACAGGCAGAGGCTGTCTTATTGATTAACAGATGAGGCCCCTATTATCGATCAAAGCTTGGCAAGGAAATTTATCACTTTTAATTTCAGGGCTGCCAAATATTTCTGCCTCTGAGCCAGCCATTCAAGAAACAATTTAAAGGCACAAGCCTCCTTGGGAGAGCAGATTTCGTCTGGCACTCTCTGCTTGGCTCTTGGGTCCATGGAACCCCCTGGCTTTGCTCTTTTGCTCAACCCGGAGAGTTGGGGGGGTTGTCAGAGTCTCTCTGGGTGGGGCTGGGGGAGTACTGGGCTTTGTGAATGGGGGCCAATGTCTGTGGCATCAGTGTGTAATGAGGAGCCTGACCTGCAGAGTCCCTGAGGACAGGGACTTTCACACACTGAGCTCAATTTCGTGACTTCATTGAGTGGGGTGGAGTGGGGAGTTGTTGAAGGCAACCAGATGTGGTCAGGCTTGGGCCAAGCCAGCAACCTTTACTAAATCCTGTGTGCTTATCTGTTTGTATCTTCATCTGAATTCGCCTGATGGTACACATCCGCCCTTCATTTGGTACCTGCCCTTCTTCCTTTCTCTCGGCTTCTCAGTCATTAAGGTGAGACGCTCCTACAGCCCACATGATGACAGTTTCTAAGAACCCCCCACATCACATCCGTTTGAAGCCTGCAGCTCTGGGCTTCACACTTGATTGCAGGCCTCCCCCATGCTGGCCAGGCCCACAAGGCCCCCTCCTCTCCCAGTTTTCTGGAGGGAGCCATGAGAATGGAGACGAACCAAAGAAAGAAATGCAATTAAAATCAGATCCCTTACAGATCCACAGAAAATCATTGATGGCTAATGATTTGGGGCTAGGGGGAGCAACTCATTGCTAGAGAGCTGTGTTCATCTGGTCCCGGCTCCCCTGGTCTGGCCTGCTCTGTTTTTGGAGGTATGTCTGCATTTCCAGTGCAGAGGGATGAAAGTAGTCCTAGCTGCCACTCTGTGGACACAGACACTGGTTTGCCATCATCCTTGGTAGGAATTTTCTTGGCTTTTGTTGAAAGCTCTGTAAGCTGTGTATCAGGTGCTTGGCCTGAGGATATCCTGCAGCTTTAAGGGACACCCAGAGGTCATCATGGGATTCTTCCTGCCTCCGAGTGAAATTCAACCCCAGCCACCTAAGACAAGTGACAATATTTATTTTTAACTCTCTTTAGGAAAAGCAGTTTCATACCTTCCCAGGAGTGCTTTATCAGTTCTTTATTCAGTCAGTGAACTTTTATTTATTGAGGACCCACTAGTGTATATCCTGTTCCTCATTTGGAATATGGGTGTCAGTGAGAAAGATGAGGTTGATGGCCTCATACTGCAGGTTCTTCATACTCTTACCTAGCAAGACCTGTTCTTTGGTGTTTAAGTCTTTGTATTTTGAGGTATATTCCTGGATTACATGCTAATAGTTCAAACTTTTTTTAAAAAGTAGCTGGAACCATTTTTCCAAACATAGTTTTACACAAAACCTTGATGTAGGAGATAAGTAAGCTAGATTTTCATTTTTTTGCGTTGAAGAAAGGGAAGTCAGACTTCATCTTCTTACCCATAAAGTAGCTTTGCTGATGGATTCCCCAAGGAGGCTGAAGGTATAGGAATTGAAAACAAAGGCTCTAATGTCAAGCTACCTGGGTTTGAATCCACTTCTACAATTAACCACAGTGTGGCATTGGGCAAGTACTTGTTCTCTCTGAGCCAGGCCTTTACTCATCTGCTAAGTAAAAACTATATGTATTTCAAATAGTTGTTGTTAGGATTACATGAAATGTTGTGTATTAAACACTTGGCATCTTGCCTGGTATATCATAAAGCCTCAGGAAACCTGAGGTGGTTTGAAAACAGCATTAGCAGCCACAACAACTATGTGTAAAAGGTAGTTCCAACTCTTATGAGGCATCAGTGCATAACAAACACACAGGCATGAGTAAGGAAGTGCTCCCACATATGGAAAGGAACAAAACAGTAGTAGCAGGTTGGAAAGAGCAGAGCAGAGTAGTGAGGGGATGGAGTGCTCAATGTATGCATACTCTGGTCTTGACTGTGGAACAGGACTGGGATAGACAGAGGAATGAGAAGGACATTGCTCAAGCACAGATACTCAGGGGTCACTGAGTAGTAGTACCCAGAGAGGGTGATGAGACCAACCTGCCTATGGGGCGCCAGCGCCCTGGGGCAGGTTATGGAAGGCCTGGAAGCCACATAGAGGCAGTCAGAATTAGTACAGATCGCCAGCCATTGTACCCTTGTGAGTAAGGATGTGGGTAAAATCCAGTGGCCTTCAAGGAACCTACGTCTGTCAGGTAGGGCAGGGGTGGCTGGTGGTATGGAAACCATTCTTGAGTACTTCAGTATGCTGGGCTTGAGGCAGGAAGGGCCTGGAGGGACAGTAACTGTCCACAGGCATGGAAAAGCTACATCTAGAGGACATCTTGAAGGAACAGTTCTAAGGCTTCAAACAGGTGACTCCTAGGTGAGATAACATATTAGAACCTTTAAGACTTAGCCTCTGGGGCCGAGGATTTAGCTCAGTGGTTTCGCTGCCTGCTGTGTAAGTGCAAGAACCCGAGTTCAATCCCTGGCACCAAAAAAAAAAAAAAAAAATAGACAGCCACTGGTAAAAAGTACTATTTCATATTGAGGTGGTGATGTTATCATGTTGAGCTTTGTAAATACTGTTTCTCAGTTGCATTAGGATTAAATTGCATCAATTTGATTTTGTTTGTTCTGCAAATATGTAGAGTCATAGGTTTCTGCCATGTGCCAGGCAGATGCAGCTGTGCACAAAATGACATGGTCTCTGTCGAGAGCTTACAGTGTGGTGGGAGAGAGACAGGTCCATGGGCATTTAGAATGGAGCCTGATGAGGACCACAATTTGGAACACTACACAGAATACTGAGAACAGACAAAAGGGATCCCAACCCAGAAGTAAACAAATAAGTGTCAAAGATGAAGCATAAATGATGAATAGGTGCTCTATCTCTGCCGTAGGGGCCAGAGATGGGGCTCAGAGGAGGACATGTGGAAGAGTGTGTAGTCCAGGGCAGTGTAGTCCAGTGTAACTGAGAACAGAGAGCAGGAATGAGGGCTTAGAGATGGAGCAGGAAAGATGACACACCAACAAGAGCTTCGTGAGTCCCAGGGAAAGAGTTCAGGCTCCACCCTCCAGCCGGGGAATTATTCAAGGGTGTTAAATGGTTAGGTACAGGTGATGGTTGAGTTAATTCTGTAAATAGTGAGTCAGAGCCCCTGTGCACAACCAAATGCAGGTAGTACATCAGCAATGCCTCCTTTCCCATAAAGTATAAGGAAGCAGGGCATATTTCTCCTTGCTGGTATCACTGATTCCTGTCCATCCTTCATGTAGTGCTGTCTCTTCAGAATGACCCTTCTTCATAGGGGTGCCTCACCTGGACTCCATCTTCATTTATCTTAGTTGTGCTGATTTTGTTTCTTTTCTCTGGGAGAGCTCTTGGTAAAGGCATTTGGAGCTCATCTGGATGGGTGGCCACTTACTGAAGGTGAGTCTGGGCTGGTTGCTGGAGCCATGGATTATCCCTGACTCAGGAGCTTCACAGACTGCTGGTTCACCCCTAGCATACACCTGTGCTGTTCTGACCTAGGCTCCCCGGACTGTGGATCTAGTGGTAACCTCCTCTCTGTTCTTTCAGCGGGTGCCAAAGCCTTCGTCTGTGATCAGTGTGGTGCACAGTTCTCGAAGGAGGATGCCCTGGAGACACACAGGCAGACCCACACTGGTGAGTTGCCTGTGATTCCCATTTTCCAGATTTTTCCAGTGTGACAATGCATGGATATGAAGTACCTGGATGGCATCTTCTTCTTAGCAAATATGATATTCAGTCATTTATTGGGTTGCCGTAAGTGGGGACGGGTTTCTGTCACATATAGTGACTCCTGCCTATGGGACCCTCTGGATGGGAAATTGCAAGTATGACAGTGCCCCATAAAAACAGCTGTCCTGAATTGGGCCAAGATCTCTACTGCAACAGGCCACAGAGATCCTGTCCTCACGGAGGCATGTTGTATGCTCTTGCTGATGCCTTAGAAGTCCCACAAATGGTTAGGATGCCTCAGCACTCCTTTGATGAAACTCTGAAACTATTCTGTGGCCCTCTGTGAGGGTTGAGCCATCCTTTAAGAGACATAATCTGAATACAAGTATGATTTGAAGAGTAACTACCAACTGACAGTGATACAGCTTTACTTGATCCTAAAGCATTGATTTGCCAGCATCCACATCGCCTTATCATTGTAATTATTGTCACCATCAGGATAGCTCACACTTACTGAGTGTTCGCCGTGTGCCAGGCACTGTTCTCACTGTTTTACATGATCCCACTCGGCCAGTCTGACAGTAACCCTGTGAGGTCGGAGGCTACTCCTGTGCCATAAATGAGGAAACTGAGGCTCAAAAGGAAAGGTACGTGGTAGGAACAGACATGGCAGAACCTACACTGCAGAGCTCAGGCTGCCAGCGTTTAACCCTGACTCTGCTACTTTCCATCTGTGGGACAATTGAGAAGTTCCTGAGATTTCTTTATGTGGATTTCTTGTACTCTTAAAAAAGTAAAACAATAGTAGTGTCTATCTCATAGAGTTGTTGTAGGAATTAAGTGAAATATTTTATTTAAAGTGCTTTATGGAGTGTTTGGCTCATAGTAATCATTTAGTAAATAGAAGTAAACATTTTAAAAATATTTATTGAGTTCCTACAATGTGCCTGATGCTGTTTGGACATGTAAGATATAATAACATACAAGATATGCCTGGCCCTCATGGAACTGAGGTTCTAACTGGGAGATAGAATGGACCAGCAGGTGCATGATATGTCAAGTTATAATAAGCACTATTACAAAAGATAAAAAGACTGAGGGGTAGGAGACAAATGTGACATTTTGGATAAAATGATCAGGCAAGAAGGGCTCTTTGAGAAGGTGACATCTGAGCAGGATGATGAGGGGGTGAACTGCTCAGGATTGCTGGGAAAACTGCCTGAGCAGAGGGAACATGCTCATGTAGGAGCCCTGAGGCCAAGTTGGGCCTGATGTGGTCAAGGAACAGCATGAAGAGCAGTATGGCAGCAAACAGAGAGTGAGTGGCAGAAGGGGCAAAGTCAGGTGGTCGCTCAACTTTAGGAAGGAATTTGGGGTTTATTCTGTGTGTGGTAAGAGTCTGTTGGAGGTAGAGAAGATATTTGCAAGTTACATGTTGAGGTGAGGAACTTATGGTAAGAAAATATAAACAAGCCTTACAACTGAAAAATAAAAATACAAATATCCAAATTAGAGAATGGAAAAAGGATGTGACTAGACGTGCCTTCAGAGATAGACAAATCGCCAGTGAGCACAAGAAGAGATGCTCCACACCATTAGCCATCAGGGAGATGCAAATCAAAGCCACAGTGAGATACCACTTCACACACTAGGATGTGGCTGTAATAAATGACAGAGTAGCAAGAGTTGTTAAGTGTGTAGAAAAATGAGAAACCTCATACACTGCTAGTAGGAATGTAAAATGGCACAGCCACTTTGGAGAACAGACTGGCAGTTCCTTAAACATAGAGTTACCATATGACCCAGCATCTCCACTTTCACCTGTCTACTAGAAGAAATGAAAACATCCATCCATACAAAAATGTGTATGTGAATGTACCTAGCAGCAGTATTCAGAGTAGGCAAAAATAGAAACAATCCAATGTCTATCAGCTTAGGGATGGACAAACAGAATGTGGTAAATCCAGGTCATGAAATAGAATTTGGCTGTAAAAAGGAATGAAGCACTGGTACAGCATGGATGAACCTTAAAAACATGCTCTGTGAAAGAAGCAAGACACAAAAGGCCACATGTTTTTTAGTTCCCATTTACATGAAATGTCCAAAATAGGCAGCTCTATGCAAACCTGAAGTAGATTAATAAAAAATAAGAGGTTGAGGGTGTTGGAGGTAAGTGGAGTGACTGCTAATAGATACAGAGTTTCTTTTGGGGAGTGATGAAAATGTTCAAAAATTGTTTGGGGTAATGTTTGCACAATTCTGAATATATTAAAATTCATTGAACTGTATACTTCAAAAGCACGAGTTGTATATTTTGTGGTATGTATACTTGTATCTTTGTAAAGTTTTTTGTGTGTCTGTATATGTGGAAATACAGATACAGATATATGAATGAGCTTTTCCTTGTGCCAGGAAGGGTCACTAGTGTCACACATGGCACTACAGATACATAAACATGTATATACACAACTATATATATGGATGTATATATATATATATTTGTATGTATGCAGCTTTCCTGATATATAATATACATAAATATTTGTTTAAATATCTAGATGTACATACACAAACACACACATGAACATGTACAGAAAAGAGGAAAGACCATTGGAAGGTTCTTATTATTTATTTGTTTATTTTTTCGTGTTAGGGATGATCCCAAAGCCTTGTACACCCGAGGCATGTTCTCTACTACTGAGCTTCGCCCAGCCCCATTTGAGGGTTTTGAATGGGAGAATGACATGACTTGATTTATGTGTTTAAAGGAGTACTCCAGCACCTGTGTTGAGAGTTGACCATGAAGAGTATTTCAGCTATCAATTGCTATGTAACAGACCACTCAGACAGCAGCTTAGAACAATGAAGTGTTATTATCTCTGACAGTTCTACAGGTTGATTGGGTCTGGCTGGGTGGTTTCACTTGGGGTCTCATGACTGCCATCAGGTGGTGGCTGGGGCCAGAGCCTTCGAAGGACTCCCCTGGGCTAGATGTCCATGATGTCTTCTTCTCTCTGAATATCTGACTCAGACCTTTCCCACATGGCCTCTCTACAGCACAGTAGCTGGGACTGGTTACCTGACAGCTCAAGGGTTCAGGAGTCAGGATGCAGAGACTGCCAGCCCTCTTAAATGCTAGGAAAATAACCGTGGAAGCACATGGCCTCACTTGTGCTGTATTTTACTGATCCACGTTGTCACAAGTCAGCCCCAGACTTAAGGTAGTGGAAACCCCAAATCCCCTTTTTAGTGGAGGGAGTGGCAAGGATGTGGAGGGAAAGAGGAATTAATGGCAGCTATCCTGGAGACAAGCTACCTCAGTGCCTGGAGTGGAGTGAGGATGACCAGTGGACAAGAATATTTGTAAGTCGTAGTCCTTCCACCTTACAGAGTCCTGAGTGGAAAATATCACTCTTAAAACTGGCATCATGGGCTTTGGTTTGGGGCTGTCCTCAATATGTCACCTGTGACTTGCTCAGTGATGGCCGAGTAAACCGAGCTTCAGTAGGGGTGAGGAATGGGGGAAAAAAAGAATCCAGATTAGGGATGAGAGCCCAAGGTGGAAGCTTGAGGGAGGCTCCTGGCAGTCTGCATGTGGGCTGTGGGTGAGGCGCTCCCGCAGCAGAGCAGATCAGCCACTTGCTAGTGTGGGAAAGGCAGTGTGCTCAGGGCTTGGGGTGGTAGGTACAGCAGCAGCCTCACCCTCCATGTAGGATTGGCAGTGAGCTGTCCAGAATGACATTAGTGCCTTCCAGAGGTCCTTTATCACTCATGGCACTACTTCCTGCTGACCCCAGGTGGATTCTAGGCCCCTGTAGTAATCGGAGAAGGAGCACAGTGTGAAGTCTATTTCAGGAGAAGGAAGAGGCCCGATGACGGAAATAACGCTAAACTACCAGAGAGGAACTAGCCACATGGGGTGCCAGGAGTTATGGGAGAGCCAACAGAAGAGCAGGGAGAGAAGTCTGGAAAAGAGAAGGAACGTTGACCCTGGGGAGAGTAGAAAAATGCTAATGCTACCTGGTCTTTTTGATACCTTAATTTATAAAACACTTTATTATACTCATTTTACAGATGGGAAATGGAGGTCTAAAGGCTACCACTTAGGAAGTGGAGAGCTGAAACTTGACCCACCTGTACCTTCAGGGCTCTTCCCACTGCTCCCAGCTGCCTGTTGGTTGACTGATTGCTGTTTGTGGGGCCATGGACTGGGTGATTTAGAGAGAGCCTATTCAGAATCACTTAGCCTGTGGCACTGTCCCTGACAGGGCACTTTAGGATCCCCATGACCCACTCTATTAAGAATTTCCAACATTCTTCCTGTGGCAGAATATGATTTCTTTGAGTCAGATTGGCTATGGGAGTTCCCTGCCCAAGGCCACCCTGTGGGGAGTAATAGAGCTACGTGCAACATTGCATAAAATGAGTGATCATGGTGGCTTACAGGTATTCTTTTAATTTTTAAAATTTGAGACGGTCTTACTAAACTGTTAAAGTGCTAAGGCTGGGCTTGAACTTGGCAATCCTTCTGCCTCAGCCTCCGAGTGTGCTGGGATTAAAGGTGTGAACCACCATATCCCGTTTGCAGGGATTCTTAAGCCTCAAAAATGGATCTAGTAGAAAGTAGCTCCAGCTGCAGTATAGCCAAGTAAATGCCAACTGTACATCCCCCTTTAACCCCTCTTAGCCTAGTTTTCTCTCCCGTTATGCACGACCCCTTCCTGCTGCCTCCCCTGCACTCCTGACGGACTCAAGCTGGTGCTCAGGGAGGCCATGCTTCTGGTTGGGCTGGGCTCTTGCTTTGTTGACACATTTCAGTGTTCTGTTTGGGTACAGCGAAGACTTTGAGTAGATAAACAGAGATCATTTTGCACCTTTTATATTATGACAAATACATATTGCAAAACACTGCTGCTTCCAAAATGTTTGGGTTGCAAAGCAGTGAGGAATTAACAGCTAGGCAG